GGGGCTTGAACCCACGGACCGTGAGATCGTGACCTGAGTGAGCCAGAGTCGGACGCTCAACCGACTGAGCCACCCAGGCACCCCGGGGCCCCAAACTTTATGCTGCCCCCGTCACCAAGGCACTGCCTGCTGAATAAGTTCCCTGGGGGCCCCGGGACCAGAGGTGTAGAATTTCTGGCATGAATGTTAACAGATCAGCCATGAAGGACCGGAAGGAAGGCAGAGAATAAGCTCTCAGACAGGGACGACCTTTCGGAGCACTCCAGCCAGGCGAGGAGCTCCCGCTCCGTGCGCACTACCCCGCACACAGGCTCTAGAGCAGATCCCAGCCTGGGGAGAACGCTTCCCAGCTTCTCCCTCCGGTAGCTGGGAGGGAGAAGGCTGCTGGTAGCAGAGAAATGACAAGTGGACACAGAAAAGCAGGGGGCAGGCCTAGGGGTTCCCACCAGCACCCAACAGGTGAGAGGAGCCCAGGGCTTCCCTTGAGCCAGGAACATGGGCGAGGATGTGGGGGGCTGGGCCGGGACAGATGCTCCCTGCCGGGACCTTGGACTTGTGTCCTCTGTCGAGGTGGCCCATTTCCCTGTGACTTTCCCTCTGCTTCCCTGGCCAGTACCAGCACAGTGGCCGATGCCTACCGCTGGCTCAATCACACCGTGGGCAACAGGACTGTTGTGGACGAAGGCTACTATTATCTCAATAACTTTGACAACATCCTGAACAGCTTTGGTGAGTGTAGGGGCCCCAAGCAGGACAGTCCCCGGGGCACACCGCCTCTGTCACCGCAGGTCCCAGACACGGCGGAGCAGAGCTGTCTGAGGCCTCCCCTCCCCCAGCCGTTTGCCACACTCTCCCGAGTCCCCTCGAGCCTCAGTGGAGCCTGTGGTTTGCCCGGTCCCAGGGGTGCAGTCCAGGCCAGACGCCAGCCCTCACTCACCGCCAGGTCTCACTCCTGGGAGCAGAAGAGCCCCGCGCTTTGCCGGAAGGGGTACAGCCCGATGCTGGGGAGCCCACCCCCCGTCACAACCCCACACCGCAGGGTGGGGCGCAGCCACACCCACCTGCCACAGTGCCTGCACTGACCCAGGCTCAGGCCCACACAGCTCTGCTCCTGGGTTCCGTGGAGAGGCCGGGGCAGGAGCAGGGCATAGGTCAAGAGGAAGGGGAGCCCCTCGGGGCATCCCAGATCTCTACCGAGCAAGGTGTGCCTGCTCTTTCCCCACCATCCACCCCCAGCCCTGGTTGGTCACAGGCAGCTGAGGCAGGAGGCACGCCCTCTTGGGGACAGGCCAAGTTTGCCGCGCTTCCTGTGGGGTGGGAGTCGGGGGGGTGGGGGGTGGCGCTCACTTCTGGAACTCACAGCCCAAGCTGGCAGGTGGGATGCCATCAGTTAGGTGCACGGTACCCAGGAGAGGCGGAGACAGGCCATCTGAAACGGACTTTGAAAAAGCGAGCCTGATCAAAACACTCCTCCTCCTCCCTTCCCTTTGGCAGTGACCTTGTTCGAGCTCACAGTTGTCAACAACTGGTACATCATCATGGTAAGGGCCTCGGTCAGCTCCTGGGGGGGCGTCTTCCCACCAGCCTCTGAGACCACCTGTGGTCTTGCCCGGCCCTGGACGGGATGCGTCGCTCTTGTGTTCCCCGATGGGGTCCTGGGTCACACAGGGTTGGGGTTCTGCCGAGAACACACTGTCGGGGCTGGGGCCCAGGAGCCACCCCTCTGCATCTGCTAGACATGGGTTCCATCCCTGCCCCCCGTACAGCCCCTGGCGGCCAGGAGATGCCCAGTAGCCTGTGGGTTTCCGTCCTCCCCCCACTGTGGCAGGGGCTCTTCGGTCAAGGGGTGGTGTGGCAAGGGTGGTTGGCTTTTGTTTCCCATTCCCTAAACACTTCCGAGTGCCACTGCCTCTCAGAGTACAGACCGCTCGCATTAGTCTTGAACCCCGCGGTCCTGGGGAGCATCCGGGCCTCATGCAGCACGGAGGAGTTCTGAGACCCGGGCAGTGAGGTCCCCCTCCTGTGTCTCCCACAACCCAAGGCCAATCAGGCAGGGTCTGTGTAGAGCCGGCCATGTGGGGGACCACGGAGGGGTCCGGGTACACGGCGACCCGGCCCCACCCAGGCGCCTGCTCACTGGCTGCCTCCCCGTGTCCCCAGGAAGGTGTCACCTCTCAGACCTCCCACTGGAGCCGCCTGTACTTCATGACTTTCTACATCGTGACCATGGTAGGTCCCCGGCCCCAGCACGCCCTTCGCCCCTCGCCCTTCACTTCTGAGTCTCCGGCTGCCCCTGCAGGGTGGTGGCAGCCCGGGGAGGAGGGGCCCGGCCGGGCAACGGGCATCGACGGGCTCTGCTGAGTGCAGGCCCCACAGCAGCTCACACCCCCTCCCCCCCTCCAGGTGGTGATGACGATCATCGTTGCCTTCATCCTCGAGGCCTTCGTCTTCCGAATGAACTACAGCCGCAAGAACCAGGACTCGGAAGGTCTGTGCGGGCAGCTGCGGCCCCCACGGCCCCCGCTGCCCACCCGGCTGGCTGCCCCACTGTCCGCTTCTTGGCTGTCTGCTTGTCCGGGCCTCTGGCAGCTCAGCTGATACCTGTCTGGCTGACCTGTGACATCCCTCATTCACGCTGATTTTCACGCACGTCACCACCGAAGAACGCCCTCGATCTCATTTTTAGAATAAAAACGTTACGTGTCTGAGATTAGAAAAATCACCCAGCAGGGACAGGCTTCCTGTGAGCACAGCCGCCCTCTGCCCCGCCTCCCTGCGCCTCCCAGACACTCGTCACCCTCTTTGTTATCACGTGCGTCCACAGTGTCGTTCTAGACTTGAGGGGCGTAAATGTCGCTCCTCCTGCAGCTTCGGTGCTCGCAGCCCTGATCACCGGCTCGCCTGTTCCAGGGTGCAGGGCTGACGCGTACTGATCATTCTTGCCCCATCCCCCAGAGCCACCACATACCGATTACTCGTCTCCAAATCGCTGTCCCCTCAGGCCACGGGATCATTTGCTGTTTGCCCAGACTCCCTGCCATAACCTCTGTCCCCTAGAAGCTGCTGGCCCAACCAGCCGTCCTGCCAGCCGCAGCAAAGGGAAGGGAAGGGGCAGGACGAGAGTGCCACGCGGCAGGGGGTGGGGGGTGCGGTTTCCCTCAGAGAGGGAACCTCGGGACCCCCCCTCCCCCTCCCCCTCCCCGGGGCAGCAGGGAGGATGGCTGAAGCGGACCAAGGCAGACCGGGGGCTCCGAGCCCCAGGCTCCTTCCCAGCGCCGGCTCCCCTCCCACAGTTGACGGAGGCATCACCCTGGAGACGGAGATCTCCAAAGAGGAGCTGGTTGCCGTCCTGGAGCTCTACCGGGAGGTGCGAGGAGCCACCTCGGACGTCACCCGGCTGCTGAAGGTCCTCTCTCAGATGGAGAGACACGAGGTGAGGAGCCTCAGGGCCGCTTCCAGCGGAGGGGGCGGGTTTGAGCTTCGCGTAGGCCCTCCCCCACCGTGCTTCCCTCCAGCCAGCTCGGGCAGTCCCTAAGCCTCCGCCCTTCTTTAGCAAAACTCCGTGGTGTTTCTGGGACGGAGATCGAGGACCAAAAGTGACCTGAGCCTAAAGATGTACCAAGAGGAGATTCAGGTAGGAGCGCCCCTGCCCACGCTGCCTCGGCCCTCGCCCCGGCCGGCTCCTGCCTGGGGGTGGGCCTCCCGGCCCCGTCCCGAGTGTGGAGCGGCGCTGGCTAAGGGGGGGAATCGTCTGTCGGGGCTGCCGCCAGTGGCGTCTGGGACTCAGGGTCGGGCGGGATGTGGGCTCAACCGCGAACCCTCAGTCCTCCCCCAGCACAAGCAGCTGTGGTGTGCTGTTTCCCTACGGCACGGCCACCAGGACGTCACCTCCCTTCCTCGCGCTGAGCCAGAACCGCAGGTGCAGCGTGTCCCGCAGGAGACAGATGGGCACGAGGGGGTGCGGGGGCCGTGCTGTGCAGGCCAGGGCGCCTCTCCTCAGGGCCATCGGGTTCTGCCGTGTCCTTGGGTCTCTTGGCTCTTTTGGCTGTTTGGGTTTTTGGTTTTTGGTTTTTTTGGTAATGTTTATCTATTTTGAGAGAGAGAGAGAGAGAGTGAGCACAAGCAGGGGAGGGGCAGAGAGTGAGAATCCCAAGCAGGCTCCACACTCAGCACAGAACCGGACGCGAGGCTCGAACCCACAAACCACGAGATCATGACCTGAGCTGAAATCAAGCATTGGATGCTTAGCTGACTGAGCCACCCAGGTGCCCGTGTGGGGTCTTATTTTTGTTCTCATTTAAGAGAAGGGAGAAGTTTTATATATA